ATTATTCATGTCAAATCAATGGAAAATATACGATTAAAAAATAAGAAAAAATTTTAGATTTGCGTGTAATATTATTTTATTGAAGAATACGTGGTTGAAATGATGTCAAATCACTGTTGAAGATTGTATTTTTTTTAAAATAATGAGGCTCAAACAAGCCCATAATTTTCCACACTTCAATACGAGTTAACCAAATTCTGCAAACTCACACAGCAACGCGATCTGGAGTGAACCCTCCAGTAGCAGCCTTGTATTCAAATCTACAAAAGTAATCCTCAGCCCCCACATTCTCGAGCTTGGTGTAGTTCTTGAAAGTGTGCACAATGCACTTGCCTTCAATAGTGTGAGCACTTTGCATATCATAGTGGTCTGACAAAAAGAGTTCCTTGGCACCATGGAACTGCCTTCGACCCCCGATGGACTCCTCGGGGCGGTAGTACCACCTCACTCGTACTTTAATATTGTTCCGGTGGTCAGCCTCAATCTTCTCCACTCTTGCCACATAAGGAGGCTTGTCTGAGTCCGATGGTCTCATCAATACACAATCTCCGGCTACATAAACACCCAATTTCTACATACTTCAGAAATCTAACTCTAGCAAACTATGCAAAATGGAGAACTTTATTACACTAGTTATGCATGTCATTGATATAAATTCTCCATGATAAGATATATTTTGGATGCCAATATATTAGCGCGTGAGTGAGCATATAAATATCAACAAAGTCAAAGGAAGCCAATCAACCAAACGTGTAAAACAAGTACATATGCATATGTACTAATAAATTACCAAAATTGAAAGAAATTATGGAAACTAAACATGGACAAACCATCTCTAGAGAAGAAACCATGATCTAAAAAACTCCAAAGTCCCAGGTTTCATCTCAGTTGAGAGTCACTTCATGTAATTGGGCCAGTGCGCATGTAGATGTGAATATGCGTGTGTGCGTGTGTGCGTGTGAGTGTGAGTGTGAGAGTGTGTGTGTGTGTGTGTGTGAGAGAGAGAGAGAGAGCCTGATGAGTTTAAAGGGAGTCAAATTATCTCCACAAGTGTGCTAGTGTGTATATCAACTTGAAACCCAAAAGCTAGCTAATAATGTTCTCATATAATCCAGCAGTCAACAAAAAAGTGAACCACACAACAAAATCTAAGTCCTGCTTCCATGTAACTCTTCTCTTGATTTTGAGGATTCCACTAGAATTTTCAGTTAATTAAAAATTTAAATTCAAATTTCATAGATTAAACATACATGTTAAATTTTTAAATTTTAGTTTAGAATTATTTTAATTCTCCTAACAAGTATACACTAATCCCATTTTTATCCCTCCTTTTTTCAGGTAAAAGGAAATTAAGTCACTAGTTATTTATATTTTCTAAGTTACTTTTGATTTCTTTTTTTTTTTTTCTTTTTTTCCAGATGTACAAGATTCTTAAATATTTAAAGTCAAGCCAAAAAGCATTGATGCATTTTCAAGAAAAAGGACGTATGTAACACAAATATGCCTACATCAAGATCACATGTTGAGACTTGTGTCTGTGAAGAACATCCTCACTCACAAACTCCAATAGTTGAGTTATCCAGGATAACATCAACAAATAAGCAAGCATTCTATCAATCATATCCGATGCACCTATATAGATGCTGGTCAAGATGACTTTGACCTCCCAAAG